CTGCACAGGGCAAAGAAAGCCGACACACTAAGCAAATAAAAAATAAGAGACTGAGGGACTCCAGGGCCCCTGGTGTCCTAGCCACCTTCCAACCCTATGCTCCTGGTGCTCAGGCCCTGCCTCTGTTCTGTGTTAACATCTCTTTAAGCAAGTTAGCCATGGGACAAGCCGATGACTTGTCACTGACTGAAGCTGAATGCTGAGTCAGGCATTCAGATGCTCAGCAAATGTTCATGGAGAACCCAAGCAGGCTAGACATGCCTAGCTCGGGGACAAAGGAAGAATCCAGCATGATCCCCATCCACCCTCAGGGAGCTTGCAGGCCAGTATGAGCCATAAATAGATCTGTCTAAGCCAATATATTCAGTGTGGTGAAAAGGACACCAATCATGTCATGAGAGGAAAAAAGCCCGCGGCAGAGAACAGGAAGCTGCACATGAAGGAGGGGAAACTTGACTGAATCTTCAAGAAGAAAGGAGGAAGCTGCCCCTGGTGAGGAGGACAGTGTGCCCCAGGAGGACAGTGTGCCCCAGACGGTGCAGGCTAGCAGGGTCAGGGAGGTGCCACGTAGGACCCATACAAAGGGAAGCAAGGTGTGTGGAAGGGGGCCAGACGCAGCCCCTCCTCACAAAGCTTGTGTTGCGGGGGCACCATGTGCCAAGTGTCATGTCACGGGAAGTTCAAGACGGAGGGAGCGAAGGAGCAGAGAGGGAGGCTGCTCTTGAGTACCATGCTACAGTCGGGCAGGAGGGTTCCGTCTCAAGCTCAGCAGGACAACGGGGTGGCTGTGGCTGACAATGTGAACTGTTTCAAGACAGCTAACAGAGCTTATAAGTAATTCCAACACAGAGAGAAAGACTTGCACTGATGGACAGGTCAATTACAATGACCTAGTCAATAGGCATTGTAGACATGTATGAAACGCCACCTGTACTCCATCAGTAGGTGCAAGCACTATATCAATTTTAAAAAGATATTTTTAAAAAATTCAGTCGGGATGTAGCATGCAAAAGGCCCTGGCCTTAGCCCCTCCCACACCACCCCACCCACCCCACACACGTGACAATCAAAATAAGATATTTGCAATTATTACTAAGTGAGAGGTGTTTGAAGCATTACAGAAGGTCAAAGGAAGAAAAACATGCTTTAAGCTCCAAAGTCTACGAGGGACTTTTCCAAGCTGATAGGGCCTCAGCGGACACAGCAGACTGCAACAAAGGCGGTGTACAGCTATGTACCTACAGACGCCCCATAGGAAACCAAGTGACGCAGGGAAAGGAGCTAACAGAGGCCAGCTGAAGGCTGAGACAACGGAGTGAGTGATGGGCTTTGCTTACAGAGCCCCAGAGGTGGGCAGAGGCTCAGGTCGGTCCCCAACCAAGTCACTTTATGTCATCTCTTCTGTTGAAAAGGGAAAGGAACAGAGCCACACATCCCATTCACCTCCTTCTGCTGCTCCCAGACCAGCTTGATTTGACTCCTGTGTAGCTCAGGGCTGAGGGATGCTCCCAAGTGCACAAAAAGGAACCCAGCCGTGGTTACTACTTGTTTTCTCCACATGAGCGTAAGTGCCGAGGACAGGTATGATGCCTAGTTCAGCAATCAAATGCACAGGAGCTGGCTCATTACTAGGAGCACAGTCACATTTATTCCATCCCTGAGTGAAAACCAAGAAAAGAGGCAATGAACCAACCCACTGACAAGGGGAAGAGGTGGCGGGTGCCTTGTGGCTCTAAGCAGTGATTCCTCCGAAGCCCCTCTTCCTTCTGGCTGCCTCTGTCTTGGGGACCTAGCCTGGCATCCCAAGGGCAGGCAGGGGAGGTAAGAGATGAAACAGAAGGGAAAGGGGGAAGGAGAAAAGCAGGCCAGGCCATACCACCCTTCCCTCTGTGGCCTCCAGCACACCACTTCTGGTCCCTGCACCTCTGGCCTGTCCCTCCCTCCTGCTCAACCTGGCACCAACACTGGATGAGCAAGGGCCCAGACAGGGAGGCAGGGCTTGTGATGAGAGCTGCAGGGAGTTTCACTTGGCAGAGTCCCAAGGAGAAATGGCTCCCCACTCAGCCAGAGGGAATGCCACCAAGTCCTGCCCACAGTTCCCACATTTGTGCCTGCATGTCCGCCTTTCCAAAGCCAGCATGTAGAACATCCAACCAGGGTGAACACTGTCCCTGTGCTGTGACCACGGAGGGACAAGTGCAGAGCCTGACTCCTCTGTCCACACCCTCACCACCTGGTGTCCGGGGTGTCTTGGGCTGGCATCTCCAGCACTGTCCCTTGGGCACTGGAGGAAGAGATGAGTCTGGGTGTGGCCAGGCCAGGGGCTGCTTTCCTGCTCCACATTTCCATAGCCTTCTCCTCTCATTCTGCTCTCTCACAGAGAGACCAAGGGCCTCCGGTCACAATGGGAGCCAAGGACCACATGACAAGGGACGCAAGCAACTCAAGGCACAGCAGGGGGTCTCCCACAGAGCAGGGAGGAGCTGTGAAGTCAGTCAGCACACGTGACTCACAGATGTGGGCGGTGAACCTGCACACACAAAGCCCTTTGTTTACAGCACACCTGTGTCCCATGGCGGCTCCCACACAGCAGCACAGCTCCCTTCTGTCTGTGTGAGGGCACCAGGCCTGGCCACATACTCACCTGCGTGCACACACACACAGACACCCCGGCACACTCCCCACACTGCACACACACATGCCAAATGTGTGCCCTCCACACACCACACAGTTTACCCCAATACACACCCCACATGTACATGCCACATATCACACACACGTGTATATGGATACTTCGTAACAGTCCACATTCCACATATAAATGCATCCCAGACAACACACTCCACACACACACACACACCATATACATCATATACATATACAGCCACATCGCACACTCCCTACACTCCACTTGTGCATGTGTCCCATAGGTATGCACCTACACACACATATTCCCCATATACACCACACACATTACACAATTCACACGAAAACCACGTCCCACATACACAGCACACATGTATACATCACATCCCACATGTGCATGTATCTCATACAGTCCATATATGCCAGAGCCACCCCCACACACACCCACATACTTTCCACACATACATACACCTCAGACACACACACTCCACACACTCCACCCAAACACACTCCACCCATACAGACTCAATGATCTTGACACTCCGTGTCTCCTAGCCAAGCACCCTGGAAGTCTCTGGTCTGTGTGAAATCTCTAGAAGGAAAAGACCAAAACTAAAATTCTCGTGTGAAGCTCCCATTTCCCAACGGAGAATCCACATTCTACCCACCATACAGTGGTTGTGGCTGTGACCAACAGTCTGGGTTTTCACTCAGGAAACATCCCACAGCTTCCTGACCAAGTGTTGTCAAGAAAGGCAACGTGGGCACCGCTATTCGGAACTGTGCTCTTCATGGAGGGCAGCAGGCAGAAACCAGGCCCTGAGCTCTGCAAATCCTGGCGTGAGATGAAACTGGGTCCTCGCTGTCCTCACAGGCAGCCTTCAAAATCTTCTGTTTTTAGTTTTCAAATAAACTTGTTTTTCTTAATTATGGTTCTGTAAAACTTTTTAGTGCTCTTCTGGAGACAGGGTCCTGCTCAGTAGACCAGGCTGGCCTCAAACTCGAGGACATCTTCTTGCCTCAGCCTCCCAAGTGCTGGGATTGCAGACATGGGATAAATTCTTGATGTTATCACATGCACCCATTTAACAATAAAACTCTCCACCCAGGCCCTGTGGCCAGCGCGGTCTTATTCTAGCAAACTGGAGCGAAGCTCGGTCTGCACCGTGCCCTCGTCCTCCAGCACCCAGGCAGGGGCGCCCCGAAGCACAGGCTCGCAGTGCTCCTCTTCCAGACAGAGGTGCCCGCCTTCCCTCCTCTCTGGAGCTAGCAGTCACGAACACCAGCTCACTACAGGGCGTCTACCTTACTAAAAGTTTGCGGAAATGACCGGCAGCTCTCCAGCAGGAGGAAGCGCCCCGACTCCCGCTGATCCCTTCCCAGTGGATCTCACACGGCCTCCAAGACCTGGCCCAGGAGCCGGGGGCAGCACTCATCAGTGTGTGCTGTTCAGGTGGATGGCACAAGTCCATTTTCAAAGTCGTAACTGCAGTAGCAGTTTGGCTTTTAGAGCTTTCTCTTCTAGGTGGATTTTTGGGTTTTTTAAAATAAATATTCTTGGACCTGCCTCTGGAGAGAAGTAGCAGCTGGCTTCAAGACTCCCATTTTCTCTCAATGCTTTCTCAACAGGCGTTTTACACAGGAGGGCGGGGCTGGGTTGCCAGAGCTGTAACTGTAATTTCACAGCCCCCCCCCATTCAGGGGTGGGGTGCAGAAGTAAGGTCCCCGCTGAGGCTCCTGTAGGTCTCACAGCTGAGTGAGCTGAACAAAGGGCCCATTGCACTCAGCAGTGGCAAAGTGAGGTCCACACTGTCCCATGAGTCTGACCGTTGTGGGGCCCGATGTGGCCCGAGGGTCGTCAGCTATTCACCTTGACCTGCCAGCATCTCTCCCGCTCCTTCTGGGTAGCAGAGGGGTCCCCAAAGTCCACTGAAACTCTCAATGCCTCATCAAGAAAGAGCAGAAGTCCAGCAAAATCCCAAGACAAGTACCTTGTCCTCTAAATTGAGACGTATTTTGTTCAACAAAAGCTTTACCCCAACTGGCACAAAGAGAAGCAAAACGCAGCTGCAGGACTATGTGTAACAAGACAGAACCTGAGGAGACAGCAAGCTCACACTTACACCAGCTCTGCAGCAACAAGAGGAAGTAATTCTGCATTCCAGAAAGAGACCTTCAAAGGGAACCATCACAGTGCTACTGAGCACGGGGCTGCGCTGCGGGTTCAGGTGCCCACCACCAGCTCGGAGGCTCCGCGGCCACAAGCGTTTTCTAACAACACTCACACATGGTGTTCCCAAGGGAATTCTGCATTTCTTCTTATAACCGAGAGATGTTCTGTGACACAGCAATGCTGGGTATTTTAATTAAATTATTTTACTGAAAAAAACACTGCACTTTGAGCACCAGAGCAAGACCACCGCACTGGGTGGGGCAGGGCAGGTGACAAGAACAGATGCTCAAGGGGCCTAGCCAAAGCCAGTGGGAGTGGTCAGGCCGAATGCACGGGGGTCCCGCAGTGCTTGTGCCAAAGGTCAATGGCCTTGCTCACGATGGCATCCGAGCTGTCCCGGGGAATCTGCAAACAGCAAAGCAACCAGGGTAAAATTCCTGCGTTTGTAACTTTAGGATCTTCTCTCATGCACTGCAGCATAAACATTACAGTACTTCCATGGGAGTTTTCACTGTTTTTCAGAAAGCAACAACATAAAAGGACTGTTTTATTGCCACCTGAGGACAGGCTGAGCAGCTCCTGTGTGAGACTGTGCTAGTGCACGTTCAAACCCTGCTCACTGTGGGGCCCTGGAAGGTTTCCAGAGCTGCCGGGAGCCCAAAGCCCCATCTTCAAAGAGGGGACAGATACCAACTTCACAAGGCTGACCACAGGATGAGAGGAGGTAATCAGGTCCTGGCACTGCTGACCACTGATGATGAGGAGGAGGAGGATCTATCTAGGGAACACAGGGACTTAGTGCTGACTTCCTACCAGGCCACTGCCCAGATGTACAGATAGACTCATTAAAGGGGCACGGATTTGGGGTCTCATCCATGACCCACTCAATCCATACCTTCACCTACTAGGAGTCCAGGCTACACAGAGGGAAAGGCTGCCTCACTGAGCCCTCTTTCAACATCCATGAAGATGATACTCAGCACATTAACAAGTGCAACAGGGATCACACATCAGTGACAGTAACAGAAATGAAAGGGGCTACGAGTTCTCCAAAACAGCACAATGATTCTTCCAGTCAAAAACTGCAGCAAGCCTGTCTGTCCCCGACACATGGTGTTGGCCGTCACAGGGGACGAGGCCCTGGGCATCACTGTCAGACTCAGCAGCCCCCAAAGGGAAGGTGCAAAGCATAATCCCCAGGCAGACTTCATGCCACTTTTCATGGAGAAAACTTTATGAAGCACACACGTACAGTATTATTTCTCTACCATAATGGAATGCAGTAGGAAAACCTGGCCTGCTACACTGAATTTATTTCTAGAGTCAAGATCAAATTAAATAACACACACTTACATTTGCCAGGAACTTTGTTATCTTTTCTGCGCTGTTCAGTGCCATTAATTTTAGTTTAAAGGTTAATAAAATTTCCACAGCTACAAAGACGAGGATTTTACAGGATCCACTTACAACTTTATCCCAAACCCTAAAAAATACAGAAATATATTCAGTTTACATGGACTTGAAAGCTATGTTTACCTATAAACATAAATTATGCTTTCAAATTAGAAAATGAGATCACATTACTCCTATTTCAAGGAAAAGCTGCAGGGAATGACAATGAAATAATTATCAGAAACAAAACAGGGGCCAGATAGACAGCTCAGTGGAATAAGCGCTTCCCTGGCAAGCACAAGGGCTTGAGTTCAATCCCCAGTTCTGCCAAAAAGAAAACAGATGAACACTTGAAGTCCACTACAGACACAATCAGCACTGAAGGCAAAAGAAAAAAGCAAACGGAAAAGGACTGCTCAGGACTCAGCACGTGGCTTGGTGGAAGCACGTTTGCCTGCGACATGCAGGACCCTGGTGCCACGCCCAAGACCACACGCATGCACGCACGCACGCAAACGCATTGTTGTCAGAATCTACCAAATGCCCATTTCCTATTGCAAACCTGACATTTTCAAGGAATGAAAAAAGTTCTAAACTAAACTTTGCGTCTTATTAATATTCCATAATATTCATAAAGTTATTGCAATGAGGGACCACAGCAAAAGCAGATCTGAAATGTGAGATAAAGTCAACTCCAGCACCAGCGAGTCTGGGGGCCAGATTCCCCGAACTCCTCTATGGGCTTATGGAGCCAGTTTCTGATATATCCCACTCTTTTAACTCCTAAGACTTTTCACATTGGTTATGATCATCGACAGCATGTTGTTTTGCTCTTAAGACAAAAGATGTTAACGCATGAGCTTTTTCTAAACTAAAACCTCAGATTTCAGGTTTAACTGCAGTGCTGGCATTCTGCAATACATACATGGGCTTCCGGGTGCGGCCTGGGCACTCGCCCTTAAGGGCGTCCTCGCTGGCCTGTGCACCTGCCCTGGTTGTGCTCCACTGCTCCCTGCACGCTGCCTTTCTTCCAAACCACATCACAAAGCCCTGAGGGGGCAGGGCCATGACACACTGACACTAGAGCAGGTGCCTGAAGAGCAGGCTGTGTCTCAGCTCTCTGAGTACCTTCAGCTCCTTTAAAGATGCCACGAAGGAACAGAAGTGCCACAATTTCAATGAAATCAGGACCTTCCACAATTCTAGAAAAGAGGACCTCCTTCTTACACAAAATTGTGGACACCATTTCAGATGTGACTATGGTGTAGCATCTAACACACAGAAGGTGCTCCAACTTTCTAAGTGTATATTCAATAAGCAGAAGCGTGTGCTGTTATGGCAGGTGCTGGAGAACTGAGCTTCCAATCTGTGCTAAACAAGTTTATATGCTGAGGGACAACCACAGGAAAGGCCGCGACTCTTCTCCAACTCCAGGCCTTGGAAAGAAGCACCTGCCTCTGCAAGCTGGACTCGGGCAGGCATCCCGCAAAACACCTCTTGAACCAGAGATCGTAGGGCAGCTTAGACACTGCAGAACAGGACTTCAGATGATTCAGCAGTCTGCTGTCTTCCAGATTCAAGTACTGCTCCAATGCTTTGGGCTGGAGATTAAACAGGAAGAGAGGTCACTTGTTTCCTATGACATAGCATCACCTGATGTTACAGCCCATGACTAAAGAAAATCTGCATGCTGAATGCAAGGAAGTCCTAGAAAACAAAATTGCAGACCAGTCCAAGTCACATGTGACCTGACAGTTTCCGGGTCAGCCCCACCTTCCTGGACTGAGGGGTTTCCCCTGGACATAACTCTTTCAGTGCTCAATGGGGCCAATGCCAGGAAGAGAAAACAGTCAGTTACCCTGGTGCTTACTGCACTAACCACATTCAGCAGCCTCAGGAAAGTCTAAACAATTCAGTCCTTCTAAGGAGCTGAACGGGCCTATGATGTCCTGGTTAGTCTGGAGTAGTCAGACTAGACTAGACTAGGATTAGGATTAGGATTAGGATTAGGACTAGGACTAGACTAGAGAAAGGATGGGCAGGACAGGATAGGTGGGATGGATGGAAGGCAAGGGGAAAGAGGACAGGTAAGAACAAAGAAGTGGAGTGGGATTAGGATGGAAAGAAAGAAGAATGAATGGCCAGTGAGACAACTCAGCAGACTAAGTGCCTGCACAGGCAGACCAGGGATTGAACCCTGGCCCCACACGCCACAATGGCCCCACCCCAGGGTGAATTGTGCTAGTGAGTGAGTCCCAGTATGGTGGCACAAGACTATAATCCCTGAGCTGGGGAGGCTAAAAACAGGAGGATTACTACAAGTCCAAGCTGTGTAGTGAGACCCTGTACCAAAAAAAAAAAAAAAAAAAAAAAAAAAAAAAAAGAATGAGAAATGGCGATGAAAAGGGGGCAATAAATTACACACACACACAGAGTCAGTTACTGGTAATGAACAGAAAATAGAAAATCTTATAATCTGTTTGGGAGAACGTGCACAGATAGGGCCATTAAGAAATAAACAGATGTTTAAATGTCTCCCTTTCACTCATGCAGTCCCTCATAGGCAGCTGCCCAGGAGATGTCTACATACATGGTGACCACATCCAAAGGCAGTTTACTGTCAGTGTGTAGCTGTTAATGGGCAGATTCACTGCAGGAAGTACCATAAGTAAAACAGGAAACAAAGTAGTTCTAAATAAGTGGCTCTCAACCCTAGCTGTACTTCAGAATTGCCTGGAATCTTTAAAAATTAGAATTCCAGGGCCCAACCCGAGATTCTGATTTAACTGGCCCAGTGCAAGAGGAAGTCATAGCATTTTTAAAAGCTCCCAGGTATACTAATGGAGAATCGTGACGGAAAAGTAGTGATTTATCTGCACAAACTTGCACACTTTTCCAAGGTAATAACAGAACTACAAGGCATATGCACAGTATGAGGCTACTTATATGTTTTTTAAAAAAAAATCACTTTAAGCTGGTTGTGGTGGTGCATGCCTGCAATCCCAGCACTCAGGAGGCTGAGGCAGGAGGACCGTTAGAGTTCAAGACCAGCCTGGGCTGCAAAGTGAGCTCAAGGCCAGCCTGAGCTACATAGCGAGACCCTATCTCAAAAAGACAAAAGAAAAAAAAAAGTCACTTTATGTATCCACATGCAGGACAGGCCCTGGAAGAGCACACACCAGGCCCACAACGATGTTCACTGCTAGGAGGGACCGGAGACACTGGTCCAGACCTGGTGCCACTCGGACTCGTCCAGGTGGTTTAAGTCCTCTGAGAATATACTCATACGTATTTTAGGTTTCCTAAAATGAATTTTTTGGACATAGCACAACTTAACAAAATGCTAACTTACTCTAATATTAAATAAAAAAATCTAATAAAATCATAGCATGATTAAGACCTCTTGATTTAATTAGACAACCAACATTACAGTTATTTATGCTCCAATTCCATGCTTAAAAGCATTTTTTATTGAAATCAACTAAGTGGAAAATCCTAAAATCAAATCTTAGGTAATTAAAATATATAAAAACTGCTCTTGCAGGAACGGAAGTGGGCAGGTCCTGCCTTCCTGCCCCTTCAGTACAGGGGGACCCAGCTGGAGCCAGGGTCTTTAGAGCCATCAACCTTCTTCACAGCCCCCACCACCCTGGTACCTTGGGTCACAGTTACCACCTTTAGGAGAGTTTTCAAATAAAAGCAAACACTTAGGAAACAACACAAGTTCTTTTTTATAAATAATATAAAAAAGGAAAAAATTAGAAAGGGAATCACTGAGGAAGATTGGCTCATGCCCCAAATCAAGAGCTGCTCGGCACTCGGGATGCCCAAACCTGGGTTTGGCACCAGATCTGCTCCTGCCCACAACCTTCCTAAGAGAACCAATCGCTTCTTTCCCAAGAGATCACCTCACACCGGGTTGTTAAAAAATGTTTCCCAATTATTAACTGCTTTTATCTGCTGCAGAGAAGGAGTCAGGTGTACAGTCCTAGCCACTACTATGGATGGCGCTGCCTTAAGACAATCTGACCGCAGTTTGCAGTTGACAATGGTGCTGAAAGGGACGCACTAAGGAGAAAGCACGGCTGAACCTGGAATCCGGGTCTTTCCTCAGGCTGCTCACATGTGGTCTCACACTCTTACACCCAAACACGAGGAAAATGCACCCCTACTGCGGGTGCTGCACTCTGCTGTTTAGAAAGTGAAGTGAACTACATCTTCATCTCAGGAACGTTTCTTGGGCCGCAGCCCATCCTAAGCTGGGGAACACCGCGTACCTGCAGGAGGAAAGCCTGCTTGTCGCTTCACTGCCCCTTTGCCTCCTTCACATTGGCTTTCTCTCCCTTCCCACCCAGAATAGGAGTATCATGGCCTGTGGACCAATGGGAGTGGAGGGACTCTGTGCCACGCTGGAGCAGAATGACAGGAGTCCAGGCCTTGGTGCTGTAGCACCCTGTGGTCTGGACTTCCGCTTCCATGAGAAAACAGGCTCCTGTTACTTGGTTCTTCCTCTATGTTAAATGCCAGCAATCCCACACCCTACCTAATACATGTAGAGGGATCATTCTAGATATGGCTAACCCGCAGCGGTGCAGTTCCAGGCCTGGCACCCTTCAGTGCATGCCCACGGCTGCCTCTGCGCGTGGTGGCAGAGCTGCACAACCGCAGCCGAGTTCCCTGGCCACCTGGCTGGAGATGTTCACACTCTGGTTGCACAGAACACACTCACTGGACCCTGCTGGAGGGGCTCCACTCACAATTACACAGCAAAGGTTCTAGCTGGTGATCCTTAATGCCACTGCTCACCCCAAAATCAGCCAAAAGCACCCCTCACCAGCTGCGGCAAAGCATCCCGGTACTTGGTATTTAACTGGTTCACAAAGCATCGGATGATCCAGTAGCAGTCGACACTGTCTTTCACCATTTCTTCCGAGGCTTTGGCAATGGCAAGAAACACTTCGTCTTCTGGCTCCTGAAGATCCATGAGACATCGCAGGCGGGAGCAGGAGGAGAGAGGAAGACACAGCACTTTAAGAAAAATGAAACCTCACCACCTAGATTTTAAAAAAGCTTCATCTTCTGGCTCCATGAGACTCCTGGCTCTTCTTCAAAATGACCACAAAAGGTAAATGCTTCGACAGATTCACAACACCAAGACAGCCATAACAGCACAACTAAGGACACTCAGGAAAGAGGACTTCCAGACCTGTCTCAGAAAGTGGCAAGAGGGCCAGCAATACAGCACAGTGGCCTAAAGGGACTGCTTAGGCAAGCTTAGGCAGGTGCAGGGGACAGCAGTTCAATCCCCAGTACCACATGCCACACCTGAGGGCAGGCTGAGCCGGCCAAAAAAAGAAAGAAAGAAAAGAGAAAAAGAATGATGGGATGGGTGTGCATGAAGCACGGGCATGTGTTTTGAGGGAGTACCAATGGCAGTGTGCCCTTCACTGTAATAAATAGCTTTTTTTTTTAATTAATTTTACTGAGAAACAAATAGCAATGAGACAATTTTGAAACAGGTTAGTAGGACAGTTATAATAATTAATACATTGCATATTATTGTCTTCATAGTTATTCATAGTACAAGATGCAGACATGATATCCTGTCCAAACAGTATTAATACAAATCTTTCTTCTCGTTGAATTAAGACAAGTAGCTATATATCTATTCTATTTTGTATATACAGGTACAAAATGGTCCTTCATTTATCTCCCCTTTTTTTGTTTAGTTTTATCAGACATGGGTATTTCATTGTCATTTAAATATTGTAGGTGTGTGAATTCAGCAAAATAATCCAATAAAGTCCAGTAGTAAATATGTAAACTTAAACATTCACTGTGTATTGCGCCCACCCCAACACAGGTGCTAGGGGCCTAGCTCAGCAGCAGAACACTTGCCTGGCGTGCGAGGCCAGGTTAGAACCTTACAGCCATAAAAAGAAAAAACCAAAACCACATGCACACAGAAGTAGACGTGTGTGTCAATGTGTGTACACACATTTCCTACCTCTGCCTACAGGACTGTCTAGACACAATGACAATCTACAACAGTAGACATATATGGTGCCTTATTTCTGGTTTCTAAAAAGAAATGGCTGATTTGACAGCTGCAGCACAGAGCACACAGCGAGCCTGGAGCACTTTGCTGTGGTGCGGAGACAGGAAGCGAATCATTCAGACCCATCCTGGGAGCGCATTAAAATGCGTGGCACTGCGGCGAGGGGCTGGCCTGGCCAGGGGTGGGCCAGACTGAGTCCAAAAGTTTCAGCAGTCATGGATTCTAGGCCACTGAATGAGAAACACTCCTCCTTAGGTTCATACTGGTATCAGTAAATAAGAGAAGGGAAAGCTCTTCTTTATGGAAGAAAAACCAATGAAATGTAGAAGGAATGAAAGAGAAAGGCACATTTGGCAACCAGCAGAGTAAAAACTTAGGGACAAGAATGATCAATAGGTGGATAGTCACAAGGCTCAAAGCACCTCGCCTTGAGTTACTCATTAACTACATAGGAAAGTGGTGACTTTACAGTGGGGACACCTGGCAACACCACTCTCACCAACTGATCAAAGCTGCAGCAGCAGGAACAGGCATCAGACCTCCGTGGTCCTGCTGCCAGTCGGGCGTAACCTGACTCCAATCACAAGGAAACATCAGAGGTGCTCTACTGGCCAGCAGTCTTCAAAGCGTCCGGGTCAGGAAAGAGCAAGGAAGGCTGAGAGACTGTTCCGGGTTAAGGCAGACCGAGACATAGCCACTGAGGCAAGGTGTGGCTGGGCACTGAACTCTGGGTCCAAAGAAAGGCATTAGCAGGCAATCTGCAAGCCTCGGGGTGCTCTCCAGGTCAGCTCTGGTGC